CAACTCCCAGAATTCCCCAGCCAGCATTCGCTGGCTGGGGAATTCTGGGAGTTGAAGTCCCGGACATCTTCAAGTTGCCAAGGTTGAGAAACACTGTGTTAAATGAATCACTGCAGTTGTTAAATAAATAGCCCGGTTGTTAAGTGAATTTGGCTTGACTTTGCTTGTCAGAAGGCCAGAAAAAGTGATCACATGGCCCCAAGAAACTGCAACCCTCATAAATACAAGTCAGTTGCCAAGTATCTGAATTTTGATCACGTGACCATGGGGATGAGACAATGGTCGTAAAGTGTGACAAATGGTCGCTTTTTTTTCAGTGCCATTGTAATTTTCAATGGTCACCAAATGAACTGTTGTAAATCGAGGACTACCTGTAGTCCTAAATTGGGAAAGCTGAATAAAAGGTCCCAGTTTTCTTGGTGTAATTGGATTAATATCTTCTTTTTAAAAATGTTGTGAAATATTGTATATTCTTTACTATCATAACACCAAAATTTCTCTCTGGGAAATGTAGCTGCTTTCCAGTATTAGCAATCCAGCATTTGGATTCTGTGCAGCATATGCATATTTATAGAACTTACTTACCTGAAATAGATATATTTTGAGATCTTTATGATGCAAATATTTATTTTTGCTCCTCCGAAAAAATGTCACTAAGTAGGACAAAGCTATCAATATAATTAGCAGGCCAGCTGCTGTTCTGTAAAAGATAAACTATTTGTGAGTGCTTTCCAAAGATGTTTCTGTAGGAATCATTTCTTTAAAAAACTTAATTAATCACAAAAGTGCAACATGAATAAGACATTAATCTAAGCTCCAGGGAGTCCAAAAGGAAGGTTCAAAACTGATGAATCTATTAAGGAGGATCTTCTGTCCTATCATAATTCAATATTACTTGGAATCACTTGCGTGTGAATTGGGAGGCCATATAAATTTGTTTGCTAAATAAATAAAAAATAAATGCACCAAGCTTTCAAACCTGCATTTAGTTTATTGCTAGTAGCTGCCCTTAAATGATCAGTTAAACATTTTTGATTTTAAAAAAAAGACTAATTATGTTCCATTGCTGCTGGTGCCTTTTAAAACTCTGATCAATACTTTTCTAAACCACTGACTCTAAAAAAAAACATTAAGAAGGTTGGATTTACTTCGGACTGGAGTCTTGGTGCTCATTAAAAAATCTGTCCATTATTATATTTACTAATGGTATCCCACCATTATTATTTTTTAAAATAACGCAAGGCATTGAACATATCTAACTACATTCCTCCTTCTTCCCCCCCCCCAAAAAAAAACTGGGCTGAGAGTGACTGGCCTCAGGTCACCCAGCTGACTTCCACGGTTGGCCAAGATAGGAATTTGAACTCTCATCTCCCACTTTCTAACTTGGTGTTTTAACCACTAGATAACAGATTAGATCAGTGGTAGTCAACCTGGTCCCTACCGCCCACTAGTGGGCGTTCCAGGTTTCATGGCGGGCGGTAGGGGTTTTGTCCGATACTGAAGCACTTTCCTTTTTTTTTTTTATTGAATTGACTTTAAAAAAAAAACTTCATAGCATTATTTAAAAACATTTTCATTAGGTTTTCATAAAAATCACCATTACTGTGGAACCGGTGGGCGGTTAGAAAATTTTACTACTAACAGAGATTCAAAAGTGGGCGGCAGGTATAAAAAGGTTGACTACCCTGGATTAGATAATGGAATATCCCTAAAAAGATTTCCATGGTATTGGGGGTTTTTAAGTTTTATTATAAACATCTATTTTACAGGATAATACATGCTTTTCATTTAAGAATGACATCAAGGGTGTTTTCCTTGCTGCTTCATACTTGTTCTTTCTTTTCCATTTCTCTTCAAATTTCTATCTGATCCTATTACAGTCTCCTGCTGAAAGAGAATGAAATAAACTGCTCTCTGGCATGTCAGCATGATACATGAATCCAGCATGTGACTCAGCTCTTCTTTACATCTGTTATGAGAATGTAAGAGGCCTATGTGTAAACTTCTAGATCCATTTTTTGTTCCAATTTTTTAAAAATTGTTTTTCACTGATAAGAGAGAAGCTCAAAAATAAGAGAAAAGTTCTACACAAGGGTTGTCAAACGCGCACCCCGCAGGCCAGGGGTGTCACGTGCTGGCCATGCCCCCCCCCCCCCGTTTTACTGAAGGGGGGGAATTGTGATACGTCACGTGACAACAACATGACTCCCCAAGTTTGACACCCCTGGTCTACACTATAATTGTTATAGCCTACATAAAGTAGAAATCACCAGCAAATTATAATCTTCAGTTTGAAACAAGAATAAGAACCGGCAGAAAGAATAAGTTTAGAAACCCGCTATTTTAGAACATCCTTCTTTGAAGAAGAGAACGTGAAGCATTCTGATAATGAAGTTCTCATCTGAAAACTTCAAAAACTTACATCAATAATTACCTCTTTCTCCACTACCATAATTATGTGACTTTAATTTTGGGTTTCAAGAATAAATTATTTGAATTCCGATAACGTATTTCCCTTCTAGAGACAAGAATTAGATGAAATTAGAACATGATTATATGAAAGTGGTAACAGTGAAGAAAGCTGATTCATACTTACACTAAAGAGATATTTGATTCTCTTCCTATCACTGGCATCAAGGGGAAGATGGCCAGGAGCAAACACGAGAGAATCCAACTTAGCACTGTTGCCTATGGCAAAAAACAAGTAAGTTACACATACAAATAGAAACATAATGTTTAAATATTAATGTATGTAGGAAACCTTTCAAATAAAGTTACTGTATATAAATTTCTGCCTAAAATTGTATGAATCCAAATTGAAATTTCTGGTATTATTACTAAAATTAATATAAAGAATTCTGCCCCAATTTAAGACTTTTCTTTTCTTAATTTTGATCATATGATCCGAGGGATGCTGCAACGGTCGTAACTGTGAAAAATGGTCACAAGTCACTTTTTCAGTGCCATTGTAACTTTGAACCGTCACTAAATGAACTGTTGTAAGTCAAGGATAGTCTGTAGAAGCACCCACCCATTATTGCCTTAAACCTATCATTGCCATTTGGATTCCTTTAAGAAGATCAGGTCACTGAAGCATAAAATGTTTCACAGAACACCACTCTTGTTTAAAACTATGCTTGAACACAAGGTTTCCAAAATAGTGTATGTGACTTGCAAGAAGGTTGCTATCGTTTGCAAACTACCAAAAGGCAGATAACTGTTTACTCTTCCAGATATTTCCTAAGCGTTTGCAAAGAACTGCTTTTTAATTTAAATAAAGTATTCATGAACGTCAAATGGAAGTGTGCATTTCTCTGGGGGGGGAGAGATCATAACCATTCCACCAAATCTCCCTATGCAGAAAATACCTTTGCTTGGATCCACAGCCGAATGACCACAGGCCACGTGGAAAACGCAATCAAGCCAAAGGTAAGAGTGGAGCGATAGAAGAAGGAGAAAACCTAATTCGCACACACATATACAAATGGAAATAAAAGAGCCAGATTTAATAAGGAATTGATATTCTCCTCAAGATACAAAATTTCATAGTGATTTTTAATTCCTCAAAAAATATTTTTATTTGATTCTTTTATTATTTTGTTACGTGTTTTTATTTTAGTCATCTGTATCTACAAAAATTATACACAAATAATATTGTTAAAAATGTATCTAAAACAAATGGTAGCCACACTATCTGTGCTTTTGTAAAAGTCCATTGTGGATTAAAAATAGATTAAAATGAGTTTAAAATATAAAAATACATATATAGAGATTAAAAATAGATTAAAAATGAGTTAAAATATAAAAATACTCATGTGTGTGTATGTGTGTGTGTGTGTGTGTGTGTGTGTGTGTTGCATTTGTGCTGATAAATAAATAAAGGGAGACTAATATAGGTGTATTTGAAGCTATCTAGCTCTCATCAGCTAGCCATACCCTTACTGGGATTTGAACCTGGGCTGTATTACATATTAGGCAGTTGTATTAGCCACTAAGCCACAGGCTCTCCTCCTTTATCAGTATAAATATAAATATAAATATAAATATATGTGTATGTGTATGTGTGTATATATATATAAATATAAAGTCACAACCCCTGGTATGCCCAAATATGGGAGGGAGCATACTGCGTGTGTGTGTGTGTGTGTGTGTGTGTGTGTGTGTGTGTGTGTGTGTGTGTGTG